CAGTGCATGGGATTCTTCCATCCTAAGTGCAGGACTCTGCACTTGTCCTTCTTGAACCTCATCAGATTTCTTTTGAAATGAGGGGGTTGTATGCTGAATCCTGGAAATAAAACTTCCTTCTCAATTCACAAATGATGAATGTTTAATCCAGGTGTGACAGTCATGGAACTGCTATATATTAAGCTATGAATCATATTTAATAATGATATGAATATTGTAAGTGACCTAGTCAGTGAGGTAAACTTGCTGTATAATTACGAAAATTTGGAAAATCCATGCAATATATCTCATCACTTCCCCTTTTATTCTTCTGACCATTTGCATTTATTTATTTAGATTTGAGCTAGTTGCATAAAAGCATATTATATATATAATTTTATTTATTTATTTATTTAAAGATTCACATAAGGATACACTCAATAGAATATAAAAACTTTTTGTTTTCCAAAATGGTTGAATGGCAGTGAAAATGCACACAGGTCCAGAAATGATACCGAGGCACTCTGGAAATTTAGGAAAGGGCTGGCAGGACCTTCAGAGCCATGCAGCCAGCTCATTGGATAAAAAGAGGGTGGAAAATGGGAGGGACATGCTGTCTAAAATGAGCTTTTGATTGGTGCATTATTGCAGTGTGGGACACGGACACCTGCCAACCAATACATTGTGATGAAAGGTATAGAATTATTACTATGACTCTTTGCAATCCGTGCTGGGAATTAAACATGTTCAGAGGTGGTGAAGGAGGCAGTCTATGTTAGATGTACAGTCACACTCCATTAGCCCTACTCACACTCAGACATTTGTAAGGGGACTTGAAGTAGTCTTTGCTGGTGGAATTTACATGCTGATAACCAGAAAGTGTAATTTAAATTAAGACATGGTCGTCTTCTACACCCATCTTCCTATATTTTGTTCTTATTGCTTTTCTTGCTACATTCCTCTTTTCTACCCTTTGGTATGTGCATTTCCCCAGATTAGATGCCATTACTCTGTTAGATTCAGTAGACTCTTTTGGTCAAATTCAGAGATGACGTGTGAAGGATAGTGTGTAAGTTGTTGGTAACCAGGGATGAGTTTAAGTGATTCACCAATTCTAATGAGCCTAAGTTAATACATACTGTGGGGGACTAGGACAAGGTGAAAGTTATACCACTGTAAGGTAAGGTCCCTGTTTTATATGGAAGCATGTGAGACCACTGCAGCTATAGTGTCTATCTTCCTTTCCTCTCACATGATGCTGCTCTAACCGGTGCTCAAGCTAATGCTTCAGATGCATGTGTGCTGCTATCAGGGTCAGCAGAAGAACATCTCTGCCCCCTTTTATTACCTTGTGGTGGGGTCACTGTGCACCATCATTCACCTGCACTTGGACAGCATTATGCCTGGGGGGGGAGTACTTCAGCTCTGGGAGTGTTCTGGGAAGGATGCTCCTTCGCTGAGCCTTCAGCGTTGTAGTGAAATGGAGGCAATTTACCTTTCTAGGGTTATTTCAATTTGTACCTTCCAGGATGGCCCTTTGGGAGCATGGTCTGCAAAATGAGTGGGATGGTCCAGGGAATCTCCGTCTCAGCCTCCGTTTTCACTTTGGTTGCAATTGCAGTTGACAGGTAAGACGATGTAAAGCTCTGAAATCAATATTCATTAAAAAAAACAAAAATATATTGCTCATCATCCCGGGATCCCCAGCATTTTTATAATTACCAATTCATCCTCATTACACCCTGATGAGATGGGGTGTATTGTGCCCATTTTCTGGATGGGCAGAATGAGGCACAGCTAGGTTAAAGTGTGGCCATCACCATTTCCCCCCCCACTTAATTTCCATGAAGATGGTAGAGGAGCAGGCACTGCAGGGGAACCCCCTTAGTGTGGCTTCAGCTATCCCGCCTGCTGCTTGCAGAGCTGAGAACAACAGGTCTAAAATTCTGATCCTAGGGCCCTCTGATCTGCTGCTGAGAGAAGAGAAGCCCGTGAGTTCCCATCCCCCAGCAGAGCAAGGAATTCACCCATCCCAGTCTGGGTAGAGTGCCCCAGAGGAGACTGGCAGATCCTGTGTCTGCTACTCTCCCTTCAGGTGGCAGATCAAAGAACTGCTGGGACCAGAAGGGCCCCTCCCAGGTCTGTAGTAGCAGCAGCAGGAGGGGTGGCAATTCCATGCTCAGGGTCTCAGGACTTAGCCCACTGGACTACTCTAAAGAGCTCCTCCTCCCTCCCAGCCGGTCCATCTTTTATGAAGGATGTGTGTCTTCTCCCAGCCCCCAGCCAGGCTGCTCTGGGTCCCTCCCGGGGGTAGGGGAGGATGTTACAAATGCTCTATCCCAGCTCTACTTCTGCCTCTTCAATGCTGTGGGGAGGGTGTTTCTCCCTTGTTCCCCCCACAGAATACCACTGGGGGCAGGGGAATAGCCAGTTGCTCCGCCTCAGTCCCCTGCTGCCTCTCTCATCTCATTTTGGGAGCAGGGGTATGTCTCTCCCTTCCTGCCGCAGATTCCTAGCCACTGCCTTCTCCCTTCGACTCCACCCTTGCCCTTCTTTGAAGCAGCTGCAGGCTCTTCAGGCAGCGTCCGCTGGCCCCACCCCTGGGCGATGTAGAAGTCTGCCGAAGCACGAGTTTGGATTCAGTCGAGGGATGTTCAAAATTAGCATAAAATACATGTTTTTTCAACGAAAGATTGGCCATTTGCTGAGTCTGATCCTTTTTTAACGGCAAGTGATGTCAGTGAATAGGACCACATTTGATGTGACTGTCCCGTGTCGTACAACAGAGACGAGGCAGAGCTGTGTATACAGCGCTGCATCTGGGGGCCTGGCCCAATGCTCTGTCCAATAGACCAAACCCCTGTGCAGCATGGTAGAAAATTCCTTGTTCCACGAGTACGGTAGGCCCAGCGAGAGAGGCTGTTTTGCAGTGGAAGTAAATGTTCATGAATCAGCCATTCCAAAACTGTGGTCCATGTGCTACCCATGCACACTTCGCTGGTGGCCGGCAGAACTGATTGGTCACATGGTGCTGGCTCCTCCTCCTTATGTCCAGCTGCTAAGAGACATTGATACACCTAAAACTACATGAAATACTTTCCTAATGCCACCTTTCCACGTCAGCAGCTATTGCCATCGCCACAGGGATGTTATTCAATTGTCTTTGGGCAGGGAGGTGGCCCAGCCAATCGTGAATGGGAAAGGAACGGTCTATAAGGCAATTTCTGACATATGGACCACATTGTCAAGTTTGAGGACCCCCGTTACAAATCATGGGCCAGATCTTCAGCTGGTGTAAAATGCAAAACTCCACTGATGTCAGTACATTGATTTACACCGGCTGAGGCCCTCGCTGCACATACGTATTTCTTAGGTTTAAAATAAATGATTGAACTGGGTTTTATTGACATTGATTATGTGGCTTTTAGATTTATTCTCTGGCATTCTGTTCACTACAGGTTCCGATGCATTGTTTACCCATTTAAGCAGAAGCTCACCATATCAACTGCGGTTGTCATTCTAGCAGTCATCTGGGTTCTGGCTATCGCCATCATGTGTCCGTCTGCAGTCATGTTGCAGGTACAAGAGGAAAAGTATTTCAGGGTGATCCTTGGCTATAGCAATCAAACCAGCCCTATATACTGGTGCCGGGAGGACTGGCCCAATCAGGAAATGAGAAAGATCTATACAACGGTGCTGTTTACCAACATCTACCTGGCCCCCCTTTCACTCATCGTCATTATGTATGCTAGGATAGGGATCGCGCTCTTCAACAAAGCAGCACCTGTAGGGGGAAAACAGAGCCAGGAGCAGCGCCACTCCGTGTCCAAGAAGAAGCAGAAGGTGATCAAAATGCTCATCATTGTGGCTTCACTTTTCATCCTCTCCTGGCTCCCCTTGTGGACTTTGATGATGCTCTCAGACTATGCCAATCTGACGGCGGTCCAGCTGCAGATCATCAACATTTACATCTACCCCTTCGCTCACTGGCTGGCCTTTTTCAACAGCAGCATCAACCCGATCATCTATGGCTTCTTCAACGAGAACTTTCGCCGAGGCTTCCAGGCAGCCTTTAAGCTTCAGCTCTGCTCCGGGGAAATGATGCGCAGGGAGTTCTACTCCCAGAGGGGCCAAAGCAATGCCATATTACCGGCAACCACCCACCAGCTGCTGGAGGACCAACCTTCTCAAAATGCCAAGGATGAGGAGAAACCAATTCAGAGAGGGAACTGGATGAACAACCAGCAGGACTTGATGATGGAAGACCTAGAAAAGGCAACCAACAACAACGGAGTAAAATGAAATTTGCTATGAACTGGTTTATTCCTTGGCAGAGTCTGATGTGGTGTGAGGTTCACACGATTTAAGCCCTCGCTGGCAAAAACAAAACAAAACACATCTTAAGATGTTACTATTGTAAAGTATGTATAACTTGTAGAATAGCTGGTTGCTTGGACTAGATATGAGGCCTAATTCTGCCCCCCTTTATACCAGTGTAAATCAGGAACAACTCCATTGAAGTCAGTGGCATTACACAGACATAAACATGGTATAAGTGAGAGCAGAATGAAGACCACTGATTTAAATGGAGATGCTCCTGATTTACATTTGGTGTACTGGGGAGCAGAATCAGGCCTGTATTGGTTTAGTTTTACACTGTTCTCAGAATAGGTGAAACAGGGTTGCATAAAGTTTTGTTAGAGAAATGTTACAGCATGTAATGCTATTGCTATTAATCCATACAACAGTTTTGTCAGAGTAGAATCTGAAGAGGTTATTGATTTATTTAATATCCACTTAGATGTTGGGGTTTGGCCTGGGTGCGAATCATGGAATGATTCTGCTGGAACATTTTCATTATTTTTTCATTAGCCAATTTTGGACACAATCAAAATTTTATTTTGCAGATTAGGATGGTGGTTTATGAGACTAATGAAAAATCCTCCACTTTTAATTGAACAGTGTCCATTTTACAAAGTCAGGATAATCCAACAAACCCTCATTTTTACAAGTTAGCTGTTACATTCACTTCATTTATTAATAGCCCCTCCCAGTATCACTGTTTTATATTTATTGCTCAAGCATAATAGCGGGTTCCTGAAATCATTCATTCTGCTATGTTACCATTACCATTAATTCAAATGTTAGAGATTTGCTTAATAGACCAGCATTAATGTTTTAATCCTCTGAATATAGAATATTGTGCCACCCAGCTTCCAGGCAAATGTATAATTTGTATTCACAGTGCTTCTGGCCTGGAGATATTGTATGCTGACTGGTTTTTTTTAATATATCTGCCTGTTTGAACTGGTGTGAGGTGTGCAGCTTCTATGGCTTCTTATTTGTTCCCCTTTCTGGCTGATTCTTTAGTTAATTTTGTGATTGAACTGTCATTCAGTTTATCTGTCTCTCAGTTTGAGAAATAAAAAGGATTAAGGATGTGAGAAATAAAAGAAAAGCTGCTTTTATGCTGCAGTTTTGGTGGGTTCTCAGAATCTTGTTCTTATATTTTTTCAAATCTTTGATAAAGAAATATCTTGCCAAAATATCGTGTCCAGCATCTAAGTTGCACATTTTGATGGTAGCTATTCTAGATACCAGGACATCATTGCTCTACCAAGAGACAGTAACAGGAGTATTTTAAGGTTCCGATCCTCCAGTCAGATCTGCAGGGGCAGAGACTTGCACCCCCCCCACACAGAGCTTCACTGAAATCAAAGCACACACGCTTCTGAAGTCACTGGGGTTCCACATGGACGCAAGGCTCCATCCACACAGAGCTGGGGCTTCACAAGGCGGACATGATGAAAGCCTATGGAATAATATAGAATATCCACCTGTCAATGCAGAATTGTTCCCAACTGTTAGTCCAGGCTGGAATATTCATCACAATACAGTTATTTTTGGATGAAACTTCACTGTTTTTAGTTCATGAAACCTCCACACAGCTCACAGGAATCAAAACATTTCAACTAAATTTCACATGAAACATTTTTCCAGAATGTTTTTTGGTTAAAATGAAACAGCAGTTGGGGATTTTGAAGAAAAAGCAACAACAGCTCTAATTTTGCAGGTAAGATTTCATGAGGCATTATTACTAAGGCTAGGATTTTCAAAGGAGCCAATAGGATTTGGATGCCTGACACCTTTAGTCTCCTTTGAAAACCACAGCATAAAGGCTTGCCTGAAATCCAGCTATTAAGGCCCAGATCCTCACATTTACTTAGCCATTTATTGATTTCAGTGGAACGTAGGTGCATAAATACCTCTGAGGATCTGGTCTTATGAGCCTACTGCATTCCTTCGGCCCACTACTCTTTCCTTCACTCACTGCACTTTTAAAAAATGGGCTTAGGGTTGCCTGGCATGGTTTGTTCTTCACGGATTCCTGAGGCTTATTCCTTTATACTTTACAGGCCAAATTATGGCTGGGTTGGGGTGGGCTGCTTTTTGTTTTTGGACCGGGTTTCCTTCTCTTCGTTTCCCGG